TACCATGGTTATCATGGCCTGTACCATGTATACTAGGGATAATAACAGTAGTAGCATTGTTACCCTCTTCAGAGAAGACAGAGTGAAAAAAGACTTACAAAGTATTGCCATGGTTTGCTTAAAGGCATATATTTGAGCATCAAAATTGGTCGTTTCACTAATATTCCTATTGGCACACAGTGAAAGCCATATATACAACAATGGGTTTTAATTTGTTCATAAAAATTATAATTTTTGTATGCTTATAGAAAGTGCACCATTTTCCCAGCCAAAAGAATTGTTTAAATAAAAAATATTTGATGAAACAATTGAACATGTTTTATTTAATACTAGACGGGTGACCCGGGCTTCGCCCCGGGATTGACCCGAGTGATATATATTTAGATAAGATTTTTTTTAAATAATTGTTTGTTATTAGCATTATCTATTTGTTTGCATCAGCATAATTTAATCTAACCTGTAATTGTATACCGGACATACAAACAAACAAACATACAAACATTGATTTTTATATATATAGATGTATAAAGACTAAATTATGGCTGGCTCTACTTTAAACTTGAATATTCTGTACTGTTGTTTATTTCATTAAAAATCCAAATTGTGTGCACCATCTTTATATATAAATGATGTTGAAGAAAATAGGATTAAAGTAATCTAAATGAAAAGATATGGTAAAAAAATAGCTAATATAAATAAAGAGGAGAAAAAGTAATAAAAAATATATACATAATAAATTCCTTGTCCTTATGTACAGCACATGTGTTATCAAATATGTATATATATTTTTTTATTTTGAATATATTCACATACATGAACTTTTTAGAAATTCTCTCTTTTAGTTTTAATGAGGGGAACACTTTGGGCAACAAACAGTCACTGGAACATATGAGAGAAAACTAAAAGGAAGTAAAAAGTCTGATAAAGGAAAATCTTATCAATTAAAAGTATAAGTACAGTAGAACCTCCATGAAAGGATACTCACACTAGAGGACACCTCTCTACAAAGGACAGTTTTCATTTTAAAAAATTACCATTTTTACTATATAGCAACTCTCTGGTAAGAAGACACCTCTCCTAAAGGACACTTTGACTCTTCCATTAGGTGTCCTTTACAGGGAGGTTCAAGTGTATTATATCAGTTTTTTACAATACAATACCAGAGGAGAGAGATATTAGAGAAAGCCAACCTTTTCATAATCCTCATTCTCCAGGGCTGTCTGGACCCCATCAGTGCAGAACTTGAGATCCAGGATGTCCTCTACTCTCTGCATACAGTCTGCGGCCCGGCTCTGCAACCCCAGCCTTCATCTGATGCCACCAACATGCCATTGAAGATAGAAAATAACAACAAAATCTACTCCACTTGCCCAAAATGTAGCTTCGCACCTGCAGCTCCAGAACATATTTTGGGATGCACTAAACAGGATCTTTGGAAGAAGTCGTTACTTATCATCAAACAGCTTGAAGAGCATGGACTCGTGGAATTCATGTAATCAAAGGGATAAGAAACAACAACATCATCTTTCAGTTGATACTTGAGAAAGTGAGGTTTCTGGCATGGTTGGAATAATATATTTTGTATGTAAAACCTTTTTAGTATGTTCTTTGATTTAAACCTGACTGCCTTCAATGATCTCTCACATCTGTTGGTAGGTATACAGAGTCTTCTTTGTGCAGTAATCTTTCCCTGAAATATTGTAGGAGTGACATGAAATGGCTGCGTACTGAATACAGTACTTGTGGATAGAATTAGGTGCAATGTGTAACAATATCAATGTTTTTCAAAGCCAGCTCAGCTAACTTTTAGAACCAACATTCTAGGAATTATATCATCTAGTTCTATCCAAGGTTGATAGTGATATTTTTAGTGAGTTGTTCATGCTGACACTCCACCTAACATTTTGGTTAAAAAAAAGTCTTGAACTAAACTATACCAGAAATCTACTACCTAGGTTTATAACCAAACAATCCCACCTTTGCCAGGTCGAGCTGTTTGACCTTGCGGCTGATGGCGATGGCCAGGTCGGAGGTGAATCCAACCAGGTCTGCCAGCCTCTGGCTGTCTGACACCACTCCATCCAGGTGGGGCCTGCCACACGCAGGACATTATTTCATTATAGAGAGTTAGAAGGAAAAATATGTAGTTTGTCATCTTTGTTTGAAGTTAAACATCATCAGAGAGTGTAGCCAATGAATGAAATACAGTAGAACCTCCCAGTAAAGGACACCTAATTGCAGAGCCAAAGTGTCCTTTAGGGAGAGGTGTCCTCTTACTGGAGTGTTGCTAAATGGCAAAAATGGTAATTTTGCAAATGAAAACTGTCCTTTATAGAGAGGTGTCCTCTAGCGTAAGTGTCTTCTCATGGAGTTTGTTCTACTGTATATTGCAAATATATCACCCCCTAAAGGAGTGTGGGAAATGTCTTAGAGTGGCTGGGCCAGGAGGTGTCAGATATGAGACTAGGTAAGTCTCCATCCTCATATGGAGCACTCACTTGACCTTGAAATAGTTTCAAAGACTGAACTTATTGATAGACCAACAGCATATATGAGTGCAAGGGGAAATAACTGCACTATATTTTCCATGAAAATGTACCACTGGACCAAGGCAACATCCGACTATGATAATCACCTTGAAGAAGCCTGATTGAGGAGGCACACAAATTATACAAGGAGGTTCATAATGATAAATCTTCTATGCTGTTACATTGGAATATAAGTGGATTATTTTATTGGCCACAAGAATTGCTTGTTGCATCCGGGACACAAACCTGCACGTGTGGAAGCAACTTTTCAAGAAAAATTACCCTCATACACAATAGCCTCCTTAATTATTGCACAAGTCCAGCTCTAGCACCTGTGAGTGCAAATAATCAAAGAAGACTGTGAAATCTTGTATACATAAGTTCCAAATTCTGCTACAAGTGCAGGCAACAATACAAGTAATCACAGCCTATCATTATAATTATTACACTATCTTTGAGAAAAAACTTGGCAGCCCATGAAATTCTGATCAGACAATCCTTATAAATAGGACTCACTTGGAAAGTAACAATCAGTTCCAAATATCAGACCCCAATATTTATATAAATACAGTCAAAAACCTGGAATCACTTGGAACCAAGATTTAATGTTGTTAGAACAGTTAAAACAACTAGCTGAATGACCCGGGAAACGCCCGGGGTTTACCCTATTAAATGCTTTTATTCAAATACTATTCATTACAATTATAAATTGGCGCCGTGGATGTCATTCTTGTATAATATATAAATGAGCATTTTACCACTGAACCACCGATGGTTATGAGAAATGGCCATATTTGGGTATTTATTCCATTCACAAAAGCAAACGGTGACAGAATTGATTAAGAAAGGGCAATGCCCGGGTTTTACCCGATTAAATGCTTTTATTCAAATACTATTCGTTACAATTATAAATTTGTGCCGTAGATGTCATTCTTGTGAAACGTCCCGCTCCAAACTTTGTGTCTGAGAAGCGATATTTTTATAAAGAGATGATCTGGCTTTGTGTCTTCTGCTCGAATGAATGTTTTTCTGTTAGAATTTTGTTCCTGCATACTAAAAATGAACTGGCTTCACCCGTGGTCTCTGCTTTTTGGAATTTTTCCGGATATAATTTTGTATCTGATAATCAAATATGATACAGCAATATTGTCATCATCATTTTCTGAATAAAAAACAACTACTTTTTTCCCAGAACCTGTCAATTTATTTTTCTTGACTAAAAATCCGAAAAATATATTTTCCAGATTTTTCTCTATGTCCTGTTAAAACACGTTTTACATGACCATTAGGTCAGCTGATATTACCTCCCATCTTCACCACTAGAGGCGCTGCTTGCGAGCGAAAGGGCAAATTTGCCACGCAATTTGCAAATAACTTGTATACATACTTGTATACTTGTGTACATAGACCATAAATCTGTACATAGACAGGAAAAGCACATACGTATATTTTAATAATATAAATGAGTTTTAAAAATTGTAAAAAAAAATGCATCGGCCGAGAATCGAACCCGGGCCGCCCGCGTGGCAGGCGAGCATTCTACCACTGAACCAAAAGGTGACAGAATTAAGAAAGAATTGTGCATGACGCTGATAACTGTATATATTAATTGGGACTATAGAATTATGTGGTTATAACAAAGTTGCTATTATAAAGAAGGTTGCCATAACGTGGTCTATATCCTAATAAAAATTCAAATATTCTTAATCTCACGAGAGTCTGTATGAAACTTTTGTTGATTTAAGCCTTTTATAATAGGACCAATTTTGTTTCCCTCCCCCCAATGATTTCCAATTAATGAGATTTGGCTAGGTTTTAAGAAATTCAAAATATAGGTTACAGATGTAGTAGACAATGAAAAGTAGAACAACTGAGTGATGCAAAGTCACCACTATAACAATGCAACTCACAGGGATTCCACCAGCCCATCCATCATGGAGGTCACTTTGGTGTGCCGCTGGAGAAGTTCTGAGAGGTGCTGCTCATTGGTCTTCTACAAACACAGACACTTTGTTGACACAACTTCCTCAATAGATGTTGTGGCACAATTTGGATTATAGATTATAAACACATGGTAATAAGACCAAGACCATAGTTTTTTTTAATACAATTTCTAAGATTCCACCTTCAGTGCTGCGTATATAAGCAGAATTATCCAAAACAGTATTAGAGCTCTATAAAAACGGTCTGGTAGATTAAATTGGCGAAACCGCTGGGAGGGTTCACCACTGATGGCCCAAGCCCTCCCAATATTTTTTCATCGCAGAAAGGATCGTACAAGTTTGTTTTGCGTATAAAAGAAACATTCGTGCTTTAAATCCTTTTATTTTCTATATATAGATGGGGCGTTATAGATTTATATAAATAAATAATGTATGACATTTCGGTAACAGCGCTATTACCAAAATGTCACTCACTATTTATTTATTTGGATTTGGTCTTACTACCTTGTGTTTTTTTCCGCAATGGATGTTGAAATGGGGTAGAAACATTTTAGAAGTACAATGGTGCCATTTGTAATTCAACTTTACCCTACTTAAAGTATTTAAAGTTTTGGTGTTGAATATAGTCAGCTAAATTGAAGTCGGTAATTCGGCTGAGTATTTAAAATGGCTGAATGAATTAGTAAAAACCAGAAAGAATTGTCAAAGATTTAACCACTTTTGAAAATATAGTTAGAATTATCTTTCTAACCTGAAAGGATCAGGTTCCTAATATATCTTATGTATGTAAGTAAATATATTTAGAAAATGTAAAAAAAGTTTTAAAAATTCAATGGTTATTTGCTTCAGGCCAGTACCCTATTTGGTGTACATTCTAGCTGATCAATCTACAAAATACATGTATGTCTTTCCTATATTCTGTATGTTATTTCAAATAGCAGAACGTTGATCTCTAAGACAGTTCATTGTTTACGCCAGTGTAGCGGCCACTTAAGTTAGGCCTAAATTATCCACAAACAAAAATCATGCACAATTGCAATACTACATTGTAGAATTTTTAGAACTGTGTGCATACGCTGACTAAGGCTGCTGTGCCCTGCATGCCAAAGTATGGTATTTTTAGAAATAAATTTGTATTTAAACAAGAATTATCGAATGTTATCAAAATTTGATTTAAAAAATCAGTCGAAATATCATTTGGTCAAATTAGCTTGGTTATTTGATAGATAGGACATGTAAACTTGGTCAAATTAACCAAAGTATTGAATTAACAAGGTTATCCTGTAGTTTTGGTCTGATACCAAGTTATCACAGGTTCAAGGTTATTAATTTTGATTTATTTATAGCACTTGCTGGCTAGTGATTACATTACATTCTGCCTCCCTTTTCACCTACTTTACCATAACCCTTGTTTACATTATCATGATATTATCGTCCACTTCTCTTGTTCCCTGACATTAATTCTTCTGATATTAAAGTTTAGTATGACTCAGTAGCCCAGAATCAAGAACATTCCCTGTGGGCTGGAATAGATACTGTCAGAACCCTTCCATTCACTGCTCCCTCTGGACCCAAGTTTTCAGCACAGTAGACCACCAGCTAATATCTTTTATTGTGATGGAAGTCGCCTCAAATTTCATGACAACCTTGTCCTGGAGCTTGTAGCTTCCATGGAAGCAACCTGTTAAATAATATTAGGAGCTAAGGTGAAAAACCAGGGATCATCTTGGCCCTGGAAGCCTGATGATTTCAAGTCAGGCTTTTATTCTTCTCTTCTTTCTTATCTCAAAAGAGAGTGAAGTAGAATTGTCATTAAGACTGGGAGCACTACTCAGTGGCAGGCTGACTTAGCTCCAAAAGAAATGGCCACCTCTGACATGAGGAACAGACACCATGTGCAGCTGCTACTAACAAACGCTGCTCATCCTGTATCCCTGGATCAAGAGCCCTTACAGGGTACTAGCAGCAGGACCAGCTGAGCCCAGGTTTTTTAGTGAGTTTGTTACTGCTCCCCCTCCTCCTTTTTCATCCGGGCTTGGGACCAGAAAAGGCTTTTATTGAATATATATAAAGAGTGGACCCGTCATCTTTGGTACATCTGAATGATGCTCACTGACACCGTTGAAACCAAGAATGGGAGGTTGTAGAATGTGCTTAGCTTATATCATTCCAAAAGGAAATAATTTAGACCTGCTTAACATGACCACACAATCTTTCACTACATCACTGTGTCCATGTTGGACCAAATATCACACAATGAACAATTATAGAGAATATTTTTATAATTATAATTATACTTTTTATCATGTCTGTAAACCAACAAAGTAATTCTATTAAATATAAAATTTTGTATTTATTTAAAAGTTAAAACACACACGATAACTGTGCAAACATGTTGCATATTGTTTTGGTGGTAGACCTAGGGCAAAGTTAAAACTGAGTCTAACTGGAATTGGTTAAAAATATTTATCCAAATATATTTTCTTTTTTTTTTAAAGTTCAAAATAACATTTAGTCAATTTATTGTAGGTATGATAAGGTACAATTTGGATTATAGATGATAATTTCAAGGTAACAAGAGAGATCAAACCAAAGAAATAAAGTTTTAAAAACAACACGGTTACTGAAACATTATATATAAGGCGAATTAAAAAAAAAGGCATCTCCTTATTGTGCAACTGAAAGTTGCTTATGGCTTGCACCATCTATCGGAATAAATATCAACTATTCATTGATTTTTAATAGTTCCAGAATTGGTTAAATACCCATTCTTGTTTAATCTAGAAAAGCTAACCACATATGCATTTCGAGCTGTTGGCACTCATCAGTGTGGTGCAAGCTGTACCTCAAAGACCAAAAAACTGGTCATTCAGGCATCCTGAAAAATCATGAAACTGGTAGTTAAGGTCAGAAGTGTGTGAGGAGTTAACTACCCATTTATTAAATACCCATTTGAGGTACAGCTTGCACCATGCTGATGAGGGCCAACAGCTCAAAACTTGTACATGGTTAGCTTTTCTTGATTAATCAAGAATGGGTTTTGACCAATTCTGGAATAATTAAAAAATCAACAAATAGTTGATATTTATTCTGATAGATGGCGCAAGCCATCAGCAACTTCCAGTTGCAATATAAGGAGATGCCTTTTTGTTTAATATAATGTTGGATTTGATGTTATTATCTTTTAGCTTATTGTGGGGAAAAAATTGCCTAAATATTTGCCACGATATTGTATGAAAATTTTTTATTATTTTATAAACAAATTATTTATTTTGATATTTATATTTTCCTACTCTGTAAACTTGCCTTATTGCCGCTCTATCCCTATATATATAAAAGTCAGTGTATGTATGTATGTATGTATGTATGTATGTATGTGGGTATCTATGTCGGCTATACACGTCCACAATACGTAACTAATCTGACTGAAATTTTAACAGTATATAGAGTAGAATCTGGAAAAACTTATAGTGAAAATTTCAGGTCTCTATCTGAATATTCTTCGAGTTATTTGCAAATTGTGTTGCAAATTTGCCTTTTTGCTCGCAAGCAGCGCCTCTAGCGGTGAAGATGGGAGGTAATATCAGCTGACCTAATGTACATGTAAAACGTGTTTTGACAGGACATAGAGAAAAATCTGGAAAATATATTTATCGGATTTTTAGCCAATAAAAAATAAAATTGACATGTTCTGGGCAAAAATAATTGTTTTTTTAGTCAGAAAATGATGATGACAATATTGCTGTATTATGTTTGATTATCAGATACAAAATTATATCGGAAAAAATTCCAAAAAGCAGAGACCATGGGTGAAACCAATTAATTTTTTTGTACGCAGGAACAAAATTCTAACAGAAAAACATTCATTCGAGCAGAAAACAAAAGCCAGATCATCTTTCTATAAAAATATCGCTTCTCAGACACAAAGTTTGGAGCGGGACGTTTCACAAGAGTGACATCCACGGCGCCAATTAACCCCCCTCCACCACCTCAGTCACACCGGTCAAAAACTGTTTTTCTCTCACTAATCATTAAATACCAATTCATAGATGGCAGTCCATAGCATAGTCATTAACCACACAAATTTACCCGTAATAGTTACTTAGATATATTTAGTTATGTAATATCATTGTAATAATTTTTCTAACTCTCTAATTTTTTCAAATATTAACACAATTTTAATTCAATTAAATTCAGACGCGCGAGTAGTCTCACGCGAGTGTGTATATATATCTTATTTTGTTTTCTATGGTTAGCTGTTATATATTTACATTGTTTAATTCTCAGTTGCTTAGTTGCCTTAATTTACCTTTAATTTTTGTTTTTATTTTTATTTTACCTGTAGAAGGGCATTGCCCAAAAGCTTGTAATGTTTTACAATTAAAAGAAACTCATCTTCTGAAACTTCTTACTTGAAATATTGATTTGTTTTTGCTTTAAATAAATTGCTGTCATCCTGAAGTTTGTCTTTCCTAATTTTCTACGTGACACAATATCATTCTAGCTGGAAAATGCTTCCATCAGCCAAGCAAAAACTGCATCTTTCATTGGTGGTGAAGGTTGTAGTTATAAGATAAACATGGAAAAGAGTTTATCAAATTGACTATAGCTTGAATCAG